GAAACGTTGCGTCACGTGGTCATGTGACTCGCTGACGCAACAGTATTTAATCTTGTCTGGTGCATACATCAAAAAGTTTAATCACGTCAAGAGGATTATTTCGGATGCGTGTTTTTAGTCTCTTTGCACATATTTATATCCAACACCCGGCCAGCAAAGAAAGATAAAGATAAATACAAATAATGTAGATATTAAAAATTATTTTTCTCCAATTTTTTTATTACACAGTCAGTTACATAAAACAATAAAAACAAAGCTTAACTTTTTTTTTAGTTTAAAAGACGTTTTTTTTTACGGATGTTAGAAAAAGAAAACAATTGTAATTAAAAATAATTATTTACTGAAAGATATACTTCAGCTGTATTAAATTTTTTGTCCTTGTTCAACTGTCATTCTAGCAAGCTTTAAGTTCTTTTATTGCAATATGAATCCAACGAATCATACTTGAATTGACAGATTATCGAACAGGTTCTGATAAAGTTTAATCAATTCAAATTATGAGTTGAAAACAGGATGAATTCCACTAATTTATAAATTTTATAAAGTAAAAATTGTAATACATTTGTTTATATTCATATTAAATCAGACCTTGGTGTTTGACCGTTACGAAACGATCAGAAATTTATCTTCAGACAATGATTTTAACCTTGAGTTCCAAGTTGTCAACCAAAGAAGAAATCCATATACTTTATACAAAATGCCTCTCTATTGTCATACAATGTGTATTATGGTTAGGACACTCTACTGATAATACATAGTTAGCAAGAAACAAGAAATCAGAGACTGAACATATTCAAACTAAAAGGTGTGAAACGTATTTCTTGATTGGATGCTCGGATGTTAAGTTAAAAAAACAGTGGTCTTTAATAGTGTATAAATTAGTTTAAAGCTTACCCTATACTGAAAACAACACTTACATCCGCTTTCATCCGAACCATCCTTACAGTCCAGTTGTTCATCACATTGTTTGTTGACCGGATAACACATTCCGTCCATACAAGCTGCATAGCCTTTCTTACTGTTGCACCGATCTATAAGAAAAGTAGTTTTCAGCTAGACACATCATCTCAACGCAAATCTGCAAGACTGCCACAAAATAACAACACGGCAAACAATACGGAATTAAATGGGCTAGAAAAATTGATGCCATCGAGAGTTATGATGTGAATGGGAATAGTTCAAGACTTTATATATATATATATATATATATA